GAAAACTCATTTGGCAAGTCCCGAGTTTGGAGGTAGTAGTGATCTATGATGGTACCACAGGAGGGCTGAATTCGAACTGGGGCCCGAGATCAGAGAACCGAGCGACCAGGTCCTAATGGCGGAGGACACATTAGCCGAACCGCCGGGTTGTCGCATCGAAGGAAAAGGACATACGCTCTGAAAGTATGGACCAAGGGGAGGGCGTCCTTCAGGCACCTAAAGCCTGAGCAGACCAATCCTTCTGGGTTGTCGGCTGGAAGTAAGGGAGAGACAGGTAAAGAATCTGGATAAGAAGACGGTCTAAATGTGGGGTACTGGGGTTGCTAAAAACCAAAACAAGGGCAAGGAGTACGTAATGAGCGCCTAGTTAAGAAGGTTGGTGCTTAAGAAACATCCGTAGAATGGCAGTATCCCAAAAGGTGGCATGAGATACGAATACGGAATGGCAGGTCAATATGTACTAATTAGAAAGAAGTTATAGAAACAAGCATGTAAATACATATGTAGGACATGTACTGCTGTGTTAGGTTTACCTTGAGGATAGTTAAGTGTCCTAAGGTAGGGTGTAAAATCCACATTGGGTGATACCAAAATCTAGCGTATGAATAGTGAGGAAACTCATAGGGTTAGAAGGCTGATAGAGATAGTTAAAACCAGATGGTTTAAATGGGTACCCTCCTAGTTAGGGTGCAGGTACGGCAGATAGCGTAAAACCTTCGGGCAGACTACTTAAATAGGTACTCAAAAGGTGCATGTGTAGCTTGATGTACCATCATTGTAATTACATATAAAACTTCATTTATACTCTAATAAAAAGTTCCCCAAACCAAAAAGATCATCTTAATACCAAAAAAAAAAAATATTATATTTAATATTAATTTATATTTTAATTAATTAGTTTTGGATTCTAGACTTAAACTAGCATATTATCAAGAAAATGATTTTGAAAATATATTCAAACATACCAAACCCAAATAGAAGAGTTGTGGAAATCTAAATACCAACCTCAACCTTCTAAAAATACAAATAAGGTTCAACAAAATCGTTCTCAAAATAAAATACTAGCTAGTATTTTTAAAAAATACAAAAAAGGCAATCCTTTAAATGAATTGGCTACTTATTTAAGAGAATCTACTGCTGATCCTGATAATGATGAAAATGATATTGATATTTTAAAATGGTAGAAAGTAAGTATCATTATTTAATTATATTATTACTATATTATTATTTATTATTATTATAAAAATTAATTTTAAATTTATAGAATCAAGAAAGTGATTTTTCACATTTAGCTAAAATGGCAAAAGATTTTTTAGCAATTCAAGGTATAAATTTTTATATTTTATATAAATGACTAGATTTATAAATACAGTATATATTAAATTAAAATTATAATTTTTATATATAGCTACAAGTACTCTAGTAAAAAGAGTATTTTCTAGTAGCAAAAATTTAATTACTGATAAAATAAGTAATTTGAAGCCAAAAACTATTAGAGCATGCATGGGTTTAAAAAGATGGTGAAAAATTAATAAAAATAATAAAACAGATAATTAAAATAGAATAATATAGTATAGATTTACTAAAATATAGTACTAACTTGCTATATATAGTATAAAATTTAAAACTACAAATAAAATAATTGGGTTTATATAACATTTAAAAATTTTTAAACCAGTATTGTAATTATAAAAGAGACTTGGCTAATGTAAAGTAAAATTAGCTCAAGATAATATTCTAATTTGAATTAAAAACTCAATTTAACCTAATTTAAAAAGTTCAAGTAACCTGGTAGTGATTAGTATAATACATATAATTTAGCAAACACAATTAGAATGGGCAAAGTCGAATCTAAATCAACATACCAGAGACCCGGTTGAACAAGTAAATCGACTATAAAAAAAAAAGTTCAAAAAGTTCAAGTAACCCGGCAGTGATTAATATAATACACATAATTTAGCAAACTTGATTAGAATAGGCAAAGTCAAACCTAATCAACATACCAGAGACCCGGTTGAACAAGTAAATCAATTATGAAAAAAAAAGATCAAAAAGTTCAAGTAACCCAGTTGTAATTAGTATAATACACATAATTTAGCAAACTTGATTAGAATGGGTAAAGTCGAACCTAAATCAAATTACCAGAGACCCGGTTGAACAAGTAAATCGACTATAAAAAAAAGATCAAAAAGTTCAAGTAACTCAGTTGTAATTAGTATAATACACATAATTTAGCAAACTCGATTAGAATGGGTAAAGTCGAATCTAAATCAACATACCAAGAGACCTGGTTGAACAAATAAATCAACTATGAAAAAAAGATCAAGAAGTTCAAGTAACTAGATTGTAATTAGTATAATATACATAATTTAGCAAACTCGATTAGAATGGGCAAAGTCAAACTTAAATCAACATACCAGAGACCAAGTTGAACAAGTAAATTGACTATAAAAAAAAAAAGTTCAAAAAGTTCAAGTAACCTGGTAGTGATTAGTATAATATATATAATTTAGCAAACTCGATTAGAATGGGCAAAGTTGAATCTAAATCAACATACCAGTGATCCAGTTAAATAAGTAAATCGACCATGAAAAAAAAAGATCAAAAAGTTTATATAACTAGATTGTAATTAGTATAATACACATAATTTAGCAAACATGATTAGAATAAGCAAAGTCAAACCTGATCAACATACTAGTGATCCGGTTGAACAAGTAAATCGACTATGAAAAAAAAAAGTTCAAAAAGTTCAAGTAACCTAATAATGATTAGTATCATACACATGATTTAGCAAACTCGATTAGAATAGGCAAAGTCAAATCTAAATCAACATACCAGTGATTCGGTTAAACAAGTAAATTGACCATGAAAAAAAAAAGATCAAAAAGTTCAAGTAACTAGATTATAATTAGTATAATACACATAATTTAGCAAACTCAATTAGAATGAGCAAAGTTGAACCTAATCAATATACCAGTGATCAGGTTGAACAAGTAAATCGACTATAAAAAAAAAAGTTTAAAAAGTTTAAATAACTTGGCAGTAATTAGTATAATACACATAATTTAGCAAACTTGATTAGAATAGGCAAAGTCGAACCTAATCAACATACCAGTTATCCGGTTAAATAAGTAAATCGACTATAAAAAAAAAAGATCAAAAAGTTTATATAACTAGATTGTAATTAGTATAATATACATGATTTAGCAAACATGATTAAAATAAGCAAAGTCAAACCTAATCAACATACCAGTGATCTGGTTGAACAAGTAAATTGACCATGAAAAAAAAAGTTCAAAAAGTTCAAGTAATCCGGCAGTAATTAGTATAATATATATAATTTAGCAAACTCGATTAGAATGGGCAAAGTCGAACCTAAATCAACATACTAGTGATTCTGTTGAACAAGTAAATCGACCATGAAAAAAAAATATCAAAAAGTTCATATAACCTGGTTGTAATTAGTATATTATACATAATTTAGCAAACTCGATTAGAATAGGCAAAGTTGAATCTAAATCAACATACCAGAGATCTGGTTAAACAAGTAAATCGACTATAAAAAAAAAAATTTAAAAAGTTCAAGTAACTAGATTGTAATTAGTATATTACACATAATTTAGCAAACTCGATTAGAATAGGCAAAGTCGAACCTAAATCAACATACCAGTGATCCGGTTGAACAAGTAAATCGACTATAAAAAAAGATCAAAAAGTTCAAGTAACCTGGCAGTAATTAGTATAATATACATAATATAGCAAACATGATTAGAATGAGCAAAGTTGAACCTAATTAGCATACTAGAAACCCGGTTGAACAAGTAAATCGACTATGAAAAAAAAAAGTTCAAAAAGTTCAAGTAACCTAGCAGTGATTAGTATAATACACATAATTTAGCAAACTCGATTAGAATGAGCAAAGTTGAACCTAATCAGCATACTAGAGACCTGGTTGAACAAGTAAATCGACTATGAAAAAAAAAAGTTCAAAAAGTTCAAGTGACCTGGTAGTTACACATAATTTAGCAAACTTGATTAGAATGGGCAAAGTCGAATCTAAATCAACATACCAGTGATCCAGTTAAACAAGTAAATCAACCATGAAAAAAAAAGATCAAAAAGTTCAAGTAACCCGGTTGTAATTAGTATAATATACATAATTTAGCAAACTCGATTAGAATAGGCAAAGTCGAATCTAAATCAACATACTAGTGATCTGGTTGAACAAGTAAATCGATCATGAAAAAAAAAAGTTTAAAAAGTTCAAGTAACCTGGCAGTGATTAGTATAATATACATAATTTAGCAAACTCGATTAGAATGAGCAAAGTTGAACCTAATTAGCATACCAGAGACCTGGTTGAACAAGTAAATTAACCATAAAAAAAAAAGTTCAAAAAGTTCAAGTAATCCGGTAGTAATTAGTATAATACACATAATTTAGCAAACACAATTAGAATGAGCAAAGTTGAACCTAATTAACATACCAGTAATCAGGTTGAACAAGTAAATCGACTATGAAAAAAAAAAGTTCAAGTAATCTTGACAGTGATTAGTATAATACATATAATTTAGCGAACTCAATTAGAATGGGCAAAGTCAAATCTAAATCAACATATCAGTAATCTGGTTGAACAAGTAAATCAACATGAAAAAAAAAGATCAAAAAGTTCAAGTAACCCGGTTGTAATTAGTATAATATACATAATTTAGCAAACTCAATTAGAATAGGCAAAGTCGAACCTAAATCAACATACTAGTGATCTGGTTGAATAAGTAAATCGACTATAAAAAAAAAAGATCAAAAAGTCCAAATAACCTGGTTGTAATTAATATAATACACATAATTTAGCAAACTCAATTAGAATAGACAAAGTTGAACCTAAATCAACATACCAGAGACCCGGTTGAACAAGTAAATCGACTATGAAAAAAAAAAGTTCAAAAAGTTCAAATAATTTGATAGTTACACATTATTTAGCAAACACAATTAGAATGAGCAAAGTCAAACCTAATCAACATACCAGTAATCAGGTTGAACAAGTAAATTGATCATGAAAAAAAAAAGATTAAAAAGTTCAAGTAACCCGGTAGTGATTAGTATAATATACATAATTTAGCAAACATAATTAGAATGAGCAAAGTCGAACCTAAATCAAATTACTAGTGATCCGGTTGAACAAGTAAATTGACTATAAAAAAAAAAAAGTTCAAAAAGTTCAAGTAACCCGGTAGTGATTAGTATAATATACATAATTTAGCAAACTCGATTAGAATGGGTAAAGTCGAACCTAATCAACATACCAGTAATCTGGTTAAACAAGTAAATCAAATATGAAAAAAAAAAGATCAAAAAGTTTATGTAACTAGATTGTAATTAGTATAATATACATAATTTAGCAAACTTGATTAGAATAAGCAAAGTCGAACCTAATCAACATACCAGTGATCTGGTTGAACAAGTAAATCGACTATGAAAAAAAAAAGTTCAAAAAGTTCAAGTAACCTAGCAATGATTAGTATAATATATATAATTTAGCAAACTTGATTAAAATGGGTAAAGTCAAACCTAAATCAAATTACCAGAGACCCAGTTGAACAAGTAAATTAACTATAAAAAAAAAAAAATTAAAAAGTTTATATAACTAGATTGTAATTAGTATAATATATATAATTTAGCAAACTTGATTAGAATGGGCAAAGCGAACCTAAATCAACATACCAGTGATCCGGTTAAACAAGTAAATCGACTATGAAAAAAAAAAGATCAAAAAGTCCAAATAACCTAGTTGTAATTAGTATAATATTTATAATTTAGCAAACTCGATTAGAATAGGCAAAGTCGAACCTAAATTAACATACTAGAGACCCAGTTGAACAAGTAAATCGACTATGAAAAAAAAAAGTTTAAAAAGTTCAAGTAATCTGATAGTGATTAGTATAATACACATAATTTAGCAAACTCAATTAGAATAGGCAAACTCGAACCTAAATCAACATATCAGTGATCCGGTTGAACAAGTAAATTGACTATGAAAAAAAAAGTTCAAAAAGTTTAAGTAATCCAGTAGTTATACATAATTTAGCAAACATAATTAGAATAAGCAAAGTCGAAGCTAATCAACATACTAGTGATCAGGTTGAACAAGTAAATCGATTATGAAAAAAAAAAGATCAAAAAGTTCAAGTAACCCAGTAGTTACATATAATTTAGCAAACATGATTAGAATGAGCAAAGTTGAATCTAATCAATATACTAGTAATCCAGTTGAACAAGTAAATCGACTATGAAAAAAAAAGATCAAAAAGTTCAAGTAACTCGGTAGTTACACATAATTTAGCAAACATGATTAGAATGGGCAAAGTCGAACCTAAATTAACATTGAACAAGTAAATCGACCATGAAAAAAAAAAAGATCAAAAAGTTCAAGTAACCTGGCAGTGATTAGTATAATACACATAATTTAGCAAACACAATTAGAATGGGCAAAGTTGAATCTAATCAACATACCAGTTATCCGGTTAAACAAGTAAATCAACTATGAAAAAAAAAAGATCAAAAAGTTCAAGTAACCTAGTAGTTACACATAATTTAGCAAACTCAATTAGAATAAGCAAAGTCAAATCTAATTAACATACTAGTGATCAGGTTGAACAAGTAAATCGACTATGAAAAAAAAAAAATCAAAAAGTTCAAGTAACTTGGCAGTGATTAGTATAATACACATAATTTAGCAAACATGATTAGAATGGGCAAAGTTGAACCTAAATCAACATACCAGAGACCCGATTGAACAAGTAAATTGACTATAAAAAAAAAAGACCCAAAGTCGAACCTAATCAACAATACCAGTAATCCGGTTAAACAAGTAAATCGACAATGAAAAAAAAAAGATCAAAAAGTTCAAGTAACTAGATTATAATTAGTATAATATACATAATTTAGTAAATACGATTAGAATGAGCAAAGTCGAACCTAAATAAACATACCAGTGATTCGGTTGAATAAGTAGAATATATTTCAATATATACTTTTCCTTCTTCTGTTCCAAGAACATTACTACCAAGATTTAACATTGTTAAGAGGTGTCTTGCAAAATATATCAGCCAAAGCTTTTTTTCCTTCGAATCTATGATTATTATTGAGATCTAACGTTAAGGAGTTCTTGCAAAGTGCATCAGCTAATGCTTTTTCTCCTTTAGAACTAAGATAATTCAAAGAAATATTTAAAGACATTAAAGAGGTATTCCTGCAAAGTGCTTTTTCTACTTCTGATCCAAGAAGAGGTATTCTTGCAAAGTGCTTTTTCTGCTTCTGATCCAAGATTAATACCACTAAGACTTAAATCTTTTAGTGTGATATTCTTACAAAGTGCCTTTGTTGGTTCATTTATATGGCTAGAGTATAAATTCAAAATACAATAGACTTAGACAGGCTACTTTGGCATGTTGAATTAGATTCAACTCGCTTATTCTAGCTAAAATAAAGAAATTTAATGTTCAAAGTGGTTATCATTATAAAAAAAAAATTTTTTTTTAATAATCTTGATAATCCCCGGATTGGCTGGATTGACCAGATTTGATCCGAATCCGGGGATTGTATTGATTTCAGTTCAATTCTGGATCAATTCGTGATTTTTGATCCAGTTTGAAACACTAGTCTTAATATTTTGCTACATTAATTTATAGTGATCATATTTAGCTAGGTGGTTCTGGGTCTCTACTATGCCAATGTTGCATGCTAAACATTCACTATTTGCATAAATATCTGGTCTTCATATTGCCAATGTTTTGAGAACTGGTAAACTTTCCAAGAGACACTTTAATTGCATAGCTAGCTTTTTACTTTTCTTTAATGTATTACATTTCGCATCTTTAAGCTTTTTTAATCTTTTCTAATATGAGAACCAATTCAATGTGGGCTTGTTTCTAAGGTTAGAATTAAGCTCGTTAATCTCCAATTCGTACCATTTCAAATTTTAAAAATCTTTTTAAGAAAAGGCCTAGTTGCTTTTTCGACTTTATATTCTCTCCAAAAAGAGGAAAAAAGATTTTTGTATTAAGGTCCAAATGAATATTTGTTGAGTGCGTTAAAGAAGTAGCTTTTTTTGCAAGTATATCTGCTCTATCATTCCATTTGTTGTCGCTGTGGCCTTTAATTTTTTTAAGTTCCAGATTGATCTTTTTTGCTTTGATGAGATCTGCAATTTTAATTAAAATGTCACAGTTTTTTCTCTTAAAAATCTTATTGAATCTCTATTCACTTTTGATCTTGTCTATATTGGAGATTGCTACTGCACTATCTGAGTAAATGCAAATATCACTATTTATTGAAATTATAAAAAAAGCAAGCCAAATTGCGATAAGCTCGGGCTTTGTTGATGAAGGCCAATTTTCTACCTTTGCCATACCCTCCCATAATAACTGTTCTTGTTTCTCATCTACTTGTACCCAACCAATACTAATACTACAACTATCTATATCTCGAACTAATGAACTATCTGTGTATATCCAAAAACTATTCATATTAAAACTATTATTTAGGTCTAACTTATTATTTAAACTACTATCTAACTCTATATTAAAATTTTAATCTGTTATTAATTGTTTATCTAAAGATTTCATGTTTTGTATACTAACGAACAACCTCTCTTTCTTACTCGGTTTCATTATTTTTTGTCTACTTTTACTACTGGTTAGAATATCTTCATATTTTAAAATATGCTTTCGATTATCCTTTTCTAATGGCTTTGGGATTATTGTTAGAACGTTACTCTGGCTTATCCAACTATAAATTTCCTTCTGATTTAGTAGAGATGCTTCTTCATGTTTTTCTATTTCAATATAACCTGCTATTGAGCTATTTTTCTTAAACTCCCAATGCTCTGTAAGAACTTTACGTTTGCCTTTTCTAACAATTTTTCTCAGCTCTAATTTATTGTTTTCCTTATCTATTATTACCCATTCTTTTTCCTATTGTTTGAAGAGACGGGTATAAGCAGTGCCAGAGGTGCTAAATTGTTTGAACTCGTTGTTTGGTGAACTTCTTTAATCTCTCTGTTTTCTGGATTTTGTAACATAGTATTTTCTAGAAAAATGAACCATTTGGCTTTCTTTCCTGCTTTTGGTTTGCCTTTTGCCACCTTGAGTTGTTGCTATGTTAAAAGCCTTTTCCCTTCTCTGTCAAGAAGCCTATAGCAATTTTTAATTATTTGCAAAAAGAAATTTATAATGTCGAAATTGCACTTATATTAACCATTGATACTAGATAGTCATTAGCTTTTGAATGTCTTGATCATATTCTATGAACTTGAGCTACGATATATACCATAGTAGCTGATAATAATGTTGAAATTAATGAAAATATTAAAGCTATTATAATGGATTATACTTTTTGGACAGACCTTAAGAATCTCTGTGATTTTTTAGAGCCATTTATCATTTTTATAAAACAGTTAGAAGGAGATGAACTGTATCTTTTCTTGGCATATAAAACATTACAAGAATTGAAAAATAAGTCTATAACAAATTTACAAGTTTCAACTGAATTACACGAAAATACTTTACAAGCTGCAAGAAATCACTGAGTGAATTTTTTATATAACCCAACAATTATTGTCGCATATGTTTTTAACCCAAGATATTGTGGAGAAGATCTTGATTTCACAGTATGGGCAGATAAGATAAATACTAAAGTAATGCAAATTGCAGATATTGGTAACAAAGATAAAGTATTAGAAGAATTGGTGGAGTATGTTGGAAAATCAGAAGGTTTTGCAAAAAAGTATTTGTGAGAAAATCTTACCTTAAAACCAATTAATTGGTGGAATTTATTAGACATACAGTATCTAGTTTTGAGCCAAGTTGCATATAAGGTCTTGTTGATTCCTGCAACTTCAGCTGCAAGTGAGCATAATTGGTCTGTTTATGGATTTATCCATTCTAAGTTGCATAATCGAATGCTAACCCAGAAGGCAGAAAAACTTGTTTATATATATTGGAATACTAGAATTCTTTGTAAATTAGGAAAACCTATATCAGTTAAAAATCTTCAAGAAACATGCTTAAATAATCAAGAAGAGAAAAGTCAAAGCATTGTTGATAACAAAGAGGAAAGTTGATAATGAAGAGGAAAGTAGTCTTTTAAATTTTTCTAATAAAATTCTTTATATGCTTGATGATAACGATATATATGACTCTGATAATTACAACGAAGAATAAAAATTCTGTAGTTTTATATTTGAACATGTTTTTTAAAAATGAATAATCGATGTTAAAAGAACTTAGCTTTAAAAAAAAAGACTTTATGTTTGTATTGCTATATTAATATGGGTAGCATGTATTTAATAATACTGGTAAAGCTTGATAATGCTGGCCACTTTTAAATGTCAATTACGCCATAATCACATGACAATACACTATTGATTGTAAAATTACATTTCAATTTTGTAAATTACGATGTAATTTACATGAAACGTAACAAAGTAATTTATGTAATACATCCCTAGCCATGATGCAGTGATCTAGTTAGATGTTTAAACTTTGAACGAAGATATCTCAGCAACCACCCAGTAGAATTTAATGTTTTTTTTTTTTTTTTTTAATTCTACGAACTCGTAGAATTAAAATAAAAAATATTTCATTAAATTATACTAGGCGGTTGCTGAGATATCTTCGTTCGAACAAAAAAACATTCAGCCTATTCGGATAATTATTTTTCTGGCCAATCATCACTTTTTGCACCACGAGTCTCACGTTTAGGGCGTGCTATGGGCCGGGTTTGCTTAGGCCTGAATCCAATCTGTTAAATTATAAGCCCAGCCTGGGCCCGGCCCAATTCATTATAGAACCAAAAATCTAGGCCCGGGTCTGGCCCGAACATGGCTCAACCTATATAAATTACCGGGTTTGACTCGGCCCAAGCTCAACCCATTTTCACAAGACCGGCCCAGGCCTGAAAATCCAAACCCAGGCCGCAAATTATTAGGTTTGACCCAGCCCATTGCACACCCTACTCACGTGATTCTGCTCCGCTTTAGATGACCCGGCATTTGGTAACTTACCATGATAACTTGGTAATTTACCATGATAAGTTACCGCTAACAACCTCGCTATTTCGAGTATTTACGGTAAATATGTTAATGCAGGCCAGATATTATATTAATGCCAGCTAGGTGATGTGGTAATGCCGGCCAGATAATTTTATTTGGGGTCATATTAAAAATCCCACGCATCACGCGTGTGCCCATCTCTAGCCACAGGACATGCCTTTTGTTAAAATTTGTGCTATGGCATGGCATAAAATGTTATATATATTATTTATAATACCATTTGTATGGTATGAATATTATAAATACGTATAATTTTTATACTGTAACTAGTGGTATGCCAAATTTGTTTTTGGCATGCCTTTGCTACTATTCCAGAACCCTAATTACAATGTATATTTTACCATATTTAGGTTACTATTTTAATCATCGTCAAATATTATAGATATTTTATATCATTAAAAATTTATTGTATTACTCACTGACCGAATAAAAAGGCAATCTGAAGGGTATTAGTTAGTAGTAAATAAGCGTTTAATCTTTTTTTTTTAATTCACTAACACTTATACGGCGTGCAGTACTTATACGGCAAATATACCATATCGCTGTGATATTTTTGCTGGGGTAGCTACTTCCAAATTTCTAAATGTCTGCACCTTAGTAGATCCTCTTTATTATATCTAGGTCTAATCAGGGTTAAGAATTTAGTGGAATTTTAAGTTTCTTGATTAGTAATTTATATTTAACAAGAAATTTACCTTTACTAATATACCCCCAGGTATATAGGATAACTTTCTCGTGATTGGTAGATCACATGAAATTGAATAATATGTTATGATTGGACATTTGCACAACATGTGACAATCGACCAATTAAATTACATTACATTCATAAAACTAATTCTTTATTGCTTCACACTTTAACAAAA